CTGTCGATTAGGGCGTCACAGATATTCATATCCACTAACGATCCTTTTGATATGTTTGATTTCATGCCTATCGCGGTCATTGGCTTTGCGTTTGGGCTCTTTTAGGTTCGTGGTAAGTCCTTTACATAGGCGCATGAGCTTTGCCACTTTCTGCTATGGAGTGAAAGCCGTAGTCCTTGATATTATTGCCGGAGCCGCTCTTGAGCTTGAAATGGAACTTCGGCATTCATCTTATATACTAAGATATTACTTAAATGACAAAGTAAGATATTATTCTATAATACATACCTGCATTATATAATTCAAAAATAGCTAATAAAGTTTTAAATTATTTATATTTGTTAAAAATTATAATTTTGTTGATGGCCGGGTACTCGTTATAAAAATATATTACTTAAGTAAAGTAAAAATCAATGTTCTACACCTATATAAAACTATTTTGAAAACAGCTAAAATTTGGAGACATGATAGATATATAAATTTGAATTAGTAATATAAGAGAAAGAGAACACATCAAAACTGAAGCCTATCAATTCAAGAAACCAAAGTTTGTTTAGATATAGCGAGACCAGTGCGCCAAAACCTCAATCGACGGTTGTGGTATTTAAAAAATTTAAATCGGTACGAATTAATTGCCGCCAAAATTGGCGTCGATAGCTATGTATTTTAAAAAATGAATTTAATTTATAATTCATTATATTACATTTTTTTATAATTTATTTGAAATCATTTCCTGCCAAACCCCTATATAAATTTATATATTTCTCATTCACTGAAATAGACTAAGGAAATTGCCTTTTTACTCAGGTAAGATTCATGCATTACATCAATATCTATTTATTAAATCAAATTTTTATATAAGTTTGGAATGCAATCAAAAATATAAAGTTAGAAATATTAACATATTGGAAATCAAATTTAGTTAAATTATAATTGTCGTTTAGATATTATTTTTTCGAGGTTGGTGCGGCATAAAGAGGTTTTTTTAACATTGAATATTAATCCATCGATGGATAAGATTATTTCGTTAGGTTTACTGGTGAAGGTTTACAATGTACTTTCCTAGCTAAATCAAGTCTGGGAAGTCCAGTCACTTTTTTTTTGCAAAAAGGTTAGTACATCCTGTTCTTCCTAGTAAAATGTAACATTTTTGCTCTAGATTGCGCTATTATAATCGTTGCTAGAAAGTAATTGTTTACGAGATATTTTAGTTGTATATGAATTGGATATTTGTCCATCATCTTCAATTTGAGTCTTACTCTCTGCATCTCTGTGAAACTCTTTTAGTTAAATTTCTAAGATATTTTTTTGCTTTTGTTTTAGACAAATGATTACTATCAGATTCATTGATTTGTCTATTTTTTTTATTTCACTACGAAAAATAAACTTAAATTAATTATTGACCCTTTTGGAAGGAAAGAAATTCTACAATCTAGATATAGCATTACATTACAAAAATCCATCCAATAATTTTTATATCTTTTCCTACAAATTTTACCTCACACCAAAATTTGTATATCAAAACCAAAAAATATATCAAAAAAAACAGTAAACCAATATGTATAAAATCATATGTAGATGATAAAGATTGAATATTTAAAGCACTATAAAAGCACTATATAAAAAAGATTGAATGGTTGAAAAAACTAAAAATATTGAAATAATTTTTAAGTGGGTTAAAATAATCATCTAATGTTGTTTGTTAGACATTCATAAAAATGGGTTAATACGAGTGATACACATCAAAAACTATATGACTAATTTATTTAGATCATTCAGATAAGACTTTTTGTTGATTACTAAATATAAATATCATTATATACTATGTTGGATAGATGTCCTTGCACTCGGTCTAAGAATTGAAAACGTCATTGGGCTCAAGTGTAAATGGATAGAAATGCCTTCACTCTGAGTATATCTTTTATTCCTCTCTAAGCCATTCCACACAGTTCCCTATCAATCCATATAAAGCAATTTATATTAACCCTGGATTATAATCCAACAATAAAGATTCCATAAATCAATAATTTGCAATTCCTTTATTGACCAATTCCTCGACTATCCCAAACCTCGTTTGATATTCAGAATCTTAAGAGGAGCTAGACTTGTCGTTTCTACCAATTATGCTTAATTCATTGATATATTGTTAGAAAACTTTAATTCCAAGGAAAAATGGTCCGTTTTTCTTTTATTTGGTCGCAAATCTTTCCAAATTTCTGCCGCCAATTGGATTTCCATCAACCATAAATTATGAATTTAATAATTATATACTTCTACACTTCATTTGTAATAAAAACAAAATAATATAAGATATCCATTGGACGCAGTGTCTTACCAGAGGATACCAGACACGCATCCCCAAACTTCTAAGATTATAACAATAAGCGAAACCAGAAACTCGCCAATTTTTATTCCAGAGAAAGTGTCAAAAGTTCAGATCTTTTCAGAAGGATATTGCCCCTGGTTTCACTATAAATCTCTTTTTCTACCATGCCAAACCTGACCATTCAAATTTATTAATTGAATCACCGAAAATAATTTAAAAATTATATTTTTACATTAATTTAAAAAAAAAATTTTTTTTTTTCCGTTTTAAAAAATTATAATATTTTTTATTCCTCAGAAAAAGTTCCCCATTTTTGATCCTAAAAAATTAATTTTGTTATAGAAAATTAAGAAAAAATAAAAAAACACCCAAATAAAATATTTTAAAATTTTGAAAAAATCTGAAAAATAAAAAAATTTCATGGAAAATTTCCTAAATTAAATTGTTGACCTAAATAAACAATAAAAAGTAATTAATGCTAAACTTAATCCACTTTTTAAAATATTATCAATTAACTTTTTATTATATAATGTGTAAAGTTATAGCATTATATTGAACCCAGTTTTGGTGAAAATTAAGCAAAGCAATTATTATAAAATAAACATCCTTAACTTTTTGATACCCCTAACCCAAATTATCTACTAGATACCTAGTTTCTGGGATATTAAGCAAAATATTATAAGATAACATTTAATTAAAAATTTAATAAATATAAGGAGAATAAAATAATAAAAAGTCAAAAATTGATGAAAAAAGGGAAAAAGAATTGTTAAAAATGACAAAAAATAGGGAATCGACAAGGGAAAATAAAGAAATTATTTTTAAAAAGACCAAAAGCGAATTATCAAAAAGAGAATAAAAATGACTTAAAGAGATCGTAAAAAGTTAGAAAAAAATAAGAAGGAAAAATAAAAATTTAAGAAAAATTGACAAGAAAAAAATTTATTATTTTTAAAATATTTTAAAAAATAATAATTTTCCTTTTTGAATGGGTCCTTTTATAATTGACATTTTTACTTTTTTTTATTGGGACTTTTCTTTTTTTCATTAAGAAACTCTTTAACCGAAAATTGTCTAATTCGTAGAGTAGATACAATAACTATGCTTACCCTGAAAATCTCCAACTCCCTGTACTTCTCCAACTCCCTGTACTTTGAGAGAAACGGGAAGATTTTTCTATGGGTGTGTTGATCTTTATAGCTTTAACACCCGGCTCTTTTATTGAACAAATTTCACAAGGTAATACAATAAACATATGCAAAGTGTTACAAACAATCGTGACAATATAATATTAGGAACATCATCTTCACTAATTCTAGTAGCCTAGATTATAAAAAAGGGGGCTCTCGTTCTCTAGTTATCGATATTTATTATTTCATCGTATCTCAAATAGATTGTTTCCCTACTGATGAGAACCCAGTCTAACCGTCCTGGGATGGGGTGATCGGCCTTAGGACTTCTTATTCGGATCCGATAACGATAATAACATTGACATATACGAACTATCATTGACCTTTGAATAGGCAATTCGACATTATTTCAGATACCGTGATAATCTTCGCTACTTTCAGGCCTGGACTCAGACTCAACTACAAGCTACCTGTGATATCGATCCAGTGGCGATCTGGACTAATAATCGAAAATTTACTAACATAACAAAACTAATGATAGAACTATTTATTCCCACGCTATATTACTATTATTAGACATTTTACAATATTGTCATTCGATTTGTACACTTTACTTATACGTTTTAACCTTGTGTGAAATTCATATTCTAAAATTACATCACCTTGTGAAAATTATTAAAAACGCCGGATGATTGAAACCATAAATAAAGGTCAAAGTATGAAAAAGGAGTAGAAAATTTTAATTTTGTAATAATTTTCTTATCCAATATTCCCATATAATTATCTTTGGTCATGACCACATTTCAAAATCTTTTCACATTTTTTTCAGCCCTAAATTATGGCTTATTAAAAATATCTTCAGGCCCGTAGCCAAGAAGTCGAACTTGAGCCGAAAACATTAAAATACCCCAGCCCTATTTGCTGCTAAGCAGTCGGCTGAGAAATTTAATAAAGCTAATCGTGCCTAACCTCGACTTGTATCCCTATTAGTGATCTGCATCTTTTTTAAAAAAAATTTGTCCGACCCGGCCCAATCCTGAATAAAATTCTTTTTATTTGTCATGAAGAGCTCGACTCGAAATAATAATGAAAATTATTTGTTCGCCCGGCCCGGATTTATTTAAATATAGAAAATTTTAATTTTTTTTTATTGTAAAAAAATATTTTGCAAATGAAAAATATTAGCGTCCTGTTTCTTGAAAGAAATTTAAAATATCAATTTATTTGACAAAATGTCTTGGTATCATATTTAAAAATTTAAGTCCGGCCCGAAATTCTTAAAATATTTTTTAGGGCCGAACCAGTCGGAACCGAAATTATTTTTAAAAATACACCCTGTCCGAATCTGGCCGGGCTGTGATTTGCATATCTATAATCCCTATAACTTATAATGTGTTTCAAAAGGCTAATAATCGACATTAACCATGATTATCAATGCATTCCAAATTATTATGTGTAAGTTTCCTTACTTCAAAATTAATTTTCATCATTACCTAAGTATTATCGATTATTTAATTTACTATAATCCAAACATAATGGGAAAGAAACCCTTATGAACTGCACTGTCGTGCCTAAGGATAAAAGGCCAGAACCTCCCGTATTATTTTACGCCATTATAAGAACTTCCATGACTTCCGAACCCTTTAAGAGGCGACACTTGGACGAAAATCAAAATATTCCATTGAATCTTAATGAAGAAGAAACCACATCAGAAGAATTGGAGGAGAGCCAAGATGAAATAATAGAAACCGATTAATGATGTATCTTAACAATATTTAAAAAAATTTCTATTATTATATAATTTTATTTGTTAATATAAAGTATTTATGTATTAGTGTTTAGATATCGATTTAGTATATTTTTCATATTAAATAGTTATTTGAAAAAAATTTAGAGTGTAATATACTTAGACCTGCGTTGATGGAAAAATTATCGGCATGGCGTTTCACTTTAAAGCTATCGGCGAGAGACGGCGCGCCGATTTCACACCGCCGTTTGGATCGGTGTTGCGCCGAATTTCATTACCTTAAAAAACTATTTTCGATTTTCTTACTTAATTTTTTTTTAAATTTTGTGAACACTAAATTTAATCTTTTTTTTGATATAAAGTTTATTTTTCTAATACCAATAATGTGATAGATTAAATTCAATTCATAAAATTATAGTTATCATCTATGGAGATTATTTTAGTTAAATTGGAAGGACATAGTGAGGATCTTCTTGGTTTTAAGGTTAGCTCATCTACAGAAAATACATTCTCATCGAAAGTGATTATAGCTGAAATATACTATTTTTTTGGCTAAAACGGAAAGTCAAGGCAGCTCTATTCACTTTTTCCAACAGGATAAATTATTATCCACTAGTGAAGATAAAAGAGAAAATAATTATGATTCTTGTTCCAAATTCCCCCTTTTATTTTGTGAGTGATCACTATACCCTATGATAAAACTGTCGTTTTGCGGAGGAGAATTAGATGAATTTATTCTATTTTTTGTATGTAATCTGATTCACAATAAACATTTTGTTCACATTCTATTATTTGGTCCATCTACATCTAAGCTAATAGCATAGCACGGTAGCGAAATTGCATAAAAATGAACAAGATTTCCTAGTATAATTGTTCATTATATTCATCTTTTGAAATCTGAAGTCTATAACTGCTGCCAATACCTTCTATAAAATAAAACATTTTATACAAAAAAATTAAATACCTGAATGAAGATCAATGATTGGGAATCTATGAATGATCCAATTTATTGAACATATAGTTTAAGGATAGGTATATCAGTCTTATTAACGATTAGGTAATTGGGTATTTTACTGAAATAAAGCTAAGTTTACGGTGCATTCTTTTTGAGATTATATATTCACGATTTTTTAGAAATATTCTAGGATTTGAGTAAATATTCCAATAAATCCCAATACTAAACAATTTAAAGTCATGTTTCTCCCTTATATTTGACATAATATTGATTGAGGCTTTGTTAGTCCCTCTCACACTTTTGAGGATAATGCTATGCCAACATGGATATTTTTAGTTTTACGCTAATATTTTAATATTTATCATGCATATCATTATCGTAATTATCTAGTTCAAAACACTCTTCTATGAAAGGATCTTCATTATCCAGATCTAATAATCAGATGTAATATCTATTGCATCTAAACATCTTCTGTTCTCTGAATTAAAACATTGATACCTGAATCCAGATAATAACCTATATTTTAACTTCAAGTTCCCATTTTAAATGAGTTTATTTTTATTAGCTATAATTATTATATATTGTGTTTTTTAATATAAGAACTAACGATATTTATGGTGAATTTCATATCAAATCAACCAATGTTTCAACCTGAACCCCCTCAAATTTTTTTAAAACTTTTATAGTATCATAGGCGTAGCCAAAGGGGGGGGGGCAAGTGGAAATTCCCCACCCCCCTTCAGAAATTTATCACTTTTTGTGAATATCATTTTAAGCTAATAAAAAATCCCCTTAGTCTTCCCCCACTCCCTGACCCCCAAAAACGTATGCATATATCTTAAACAATAATTTGAAAGAAAGAATGTAAATCGCCAATCCTCTGAAATAATTCCTTCTGTGACAATTTGATTGGTTAAATTCATTAACCTTTCAATCTCTATGTCATCAGAACTTTTAAACGTTTCTGATATCACCCTCGTTAAACCCGCTTCCTTCTCTCTATTCATCTTTTCCACTGGCCTTTTTATTTCGTCCTTAATTTACACTTCCGGACCTTCTATCATTGCACAACTAACATCATTATCCCATTCATTTTTTTCGTTCAAAAGTCCTTCCTTGTAGATCTTCCAGGTGTTTTTAATAACACTACTATCAATCACCATTTTGCTTCCATGTTTTTCAAACATTTAACACCTATCACATCCTGCCTCTATTTTGCCATCTGCTTTGCCATTCGGACAACATTTCTTTTTTTTGGCGCATTCCATTTCTTTAGCAAACTCCTGTCTTTTTTTTTCTTGCGTCTTCGCCATATTTCTTAGCACTTCTCTTCGCCATCTTGTAAATATTGTTATCACTATTTTCTTTACTATTATACCATTCTTTGAAGTACCTTCATTTCTCATCCATAGCTTTCGCTATCTTCGGATTCCACCACCATGTCCCCTTATGTCTAGGCGGTCCTTTTGTCCATCCACATACTTCCTTAGTTGTCATCACCCAGGTTTTCTTTATGACTTCCCACTTGTCATTTACGATGTTTGTGCCACCTCCACCTCCCTTATCGCCAATGTCATAATGAATTGACGTCCAGCATTCTCCTCCTTCAATTTCCAGACCTTCAGCCTTGGCACAAACTCTCTTTTAGTGATCCTGTTGCCTTTAAAAGTAAGATCTCCTATTAGTCGATGCTGATTAATACATTCCTCTCCCGGTATCACTTTCACATTTTTTACTATACATCTATCACGTCTCCTTAATGACAAATAATCCATCTCATTTTTGGTACTACCCGACATATAAGTCACAAGCTTCTCTGATTCTTTCTTAAGCATTGTTTACAAACAATCATATCCATAACATCTCTAAAATTCTCTCCTTTTCCAGATTTCTCATGCCATAACATAATCCTTCATGTACTCCTTCATAACCCTCACTACTCGCTCCCACATGTCCATTCAGATCACCAGTTAGGATAATCCCCTCTTCATTTGCCGGTCTCTATGTCGCCCCCAATAGACTTTCCCAGAATATATCCTACTCTTCATATATTTTTCTCTTCACTTCTTTCAACGTGAGGAACATATGCTGAGATAATAATTTATAACTTTCTACCCAATTTTTCCGCAACCAATATCCCAACTCCAGCCTTACCATCATTACTTCCTTGCCATAAGAATTTATACTTTTCACTTGTCTTGTCAATCGTTCTTGCGCCATTACCTTTCCATCTGGTCTTTTGTATGCAACACACATCTATATGCCTTCTATGCAATGCATCGACCACTTCTTCCGCTCTTCCCGTCATAATCTCAACATTCCATGTCGCGACCCTTAATCTCCCGTAAACTGATTTCTCCACTTATTAACAGGTCGTTTATGGCCATCATAAGTTTCATTTTCACGAATCGTGGTTTCACCAGGTTTACCATCCTTCTATTTATCGTAGGAGAATGAGGAATTATACGTGGTACTTTGATCTGTACCCCGTTTGTTGTAATCATTAGGAAATTTTGTAGCAAGGTTTTTATATTCGGATGCCCTTCCTGATCAATCCCTTTAAGTGGTTTCTACACCCCGTCGAGGAGACGGTTATCCTATTCTAGACCCAGATCACATAAACCTTTTATACCTCCATTAGCCGCAAAAGACGCCACTCCCTCGCCACAATGAGGCTGATGGTGGGATTTTGGGAGAGGGATTATATATGTTTTTTAAATTAGAGATGCCATTTTAAAAGAGCAGAGAAAAAAACCAGCAAACTCCACCATCATAAAATATTTATTTTTAACCCAGTATTTAATTTAATGCTATTAATAAATATAACCAATAAATACGCAAAATAAAATTGATAAGTTGATATGTGCATTTATTTATTGTCAAGGGTTTACACATTCTTTGAGTCTATTTGAACAGCCTCAATTTATTACATTGATGAGAAATTATTGATTAATAATATATATGATATTTAGATATTCTTATTAATGTTGGATCATTTAAAAAAAATTTCAAGGAGGTCTTTGCAAAGAAGAATAGAGGAAATTTTTGATAATCAAATAGATACTTTAAAAAGTATTTTAAAGCTCAATCATATATCCGCAGGTAGATTTATGGTCCACAAACCCCCATAGTTTTATGAGAATAGCAGCTCACTGGGTATATTTTTACAGATTATACGAGAAACCCTTAAAAGGCAATTATGCTCCTTGGCATGTAGAAGAATGCCTGGAACACATTTATTTATAAAATTACACAACTATTGTAAGAAAGCTATAGAGAGTAAGTGATTTCTGATAAACTTATTGCTGTATGGATAAAGAATTGAAGGGGGGTCGGGTTGAAAATCGACTTTTTTTTGTTGATTTGATATGGAATTCACCATATATGTATTAGGTAACTTCTGATGTATATAAAAAAGATGGCATTGCTTGATTAAGGTTATTTGAATTGGTCATTGATATAGTAAATGAATAGACAAATAGGTTTTGTTGGTTGGTATTATCTATTTGGTCTGTTGTTTTTTACTTAAAGAATATGAGGTCTTCATAAATTTGCAAATATTTGGCAATGTTGATACTGGTAAAAAGATATGATGGTATCAAAATTGTTGATAACTAGGTGGTTTAATTTGAATATTTGATTATTGAATTGTTTAGTTTATGATATAAACTCTAAAGCATTTCTAGATTGTGTGGATTAAAATGACAGAGTTTAGGTGGTAGGCCTTTTTTTGCTATATTATTTATAGGTAGGTTTGATTGCATAAATACTAAATGGCTTTGTTGTGATTATATTTAATCCAGATATGCTTTCTAGCATAATTAATATACTATGCCAACGTGTTGGGACATTTAATTTTAAGGATTTCATATGCGTGGAATTATTATTAATATCATTGGAATTTCCAATTTGAAAACGGGTATCCGGGTATAGATCAATGCTGTCTAGATCTATAGGTCTGATGTTAAATCTATTTTACTTAGGCATTTTTTTAAAATCTTCCTCGAATTCAAATTCAACCTCTGCAGTTTTATATCTTAGAAGCAGTAATAATTTCTCTAATTATTTTACAAAAAATTTCCAGACTATGGTTTTTTATTATCCAGAGTTAGCCAGCCCACAGGTCTATGTATTTGACATAATTCACAATTCTTTATTAGACCGCCAAATTTTCTCTTGGACTAACAATCTTGTTTTGATAATACCCTACCTATACGTAAAAAGGATATAATATTTACTTGTATATTTTTCGGAATTATGGTACTTAATCACCATCACCCTGCCTCCACCGTGAGCTAATTTAGACGCTGGAAAAACAGTTTAAGATTTTCATCTATTATTTTCGGTAAACCAGTTGTAATATAATGGGAATCTTTTATAGCAACGAGTTATTTCTTGTGTGGGACTTTATATCATGCTGAGATGAATTACGGAGCATCCGCTGCTATTAAATTAAAATCTAATTCCTCTCAATCAGATGATTTACCTTCGACTGAGAAGCGCGAAAGCATATCCACATTGCTATTATTATTCGTTCCTCGAAGTGGCAATTCATAATTTACTAGTAGTAATAACCTTTTACTAATCTTCAAGACATATCTGTTATTCTTTTAGGTGGGTTAGGTAACAATATAAGTGGTTTATGATCAGTGAATAGTAAAATGATTATCAATTAGATATTGTTTAAATTTAGATATTACCTTTAATATCTCATGCTCTATCTGACTGTAATTTCGTTTGCAGTTAATGTGCAAGAAGCCAATCCAACCGGCTTTTCTTTGCTGTTAATCATATGAGACATAACTGATCTTATTCCATGTTGAGAAGTGCCAGCAGTTAGTATTATCGGCATTTTAGGATTATTAAAATAAATGTCTGATACCAATTTTTGAAATATATTAATTACGTTTGTTTCATTATGTGTCCATTTACATCGCACATTTTTACATAAAAGCATATCATATATAAGGGAGCGGCTATAGTGGAAAAATAGTTTATAAATTTTTGATAATAATTAATTATACTGATAAAAGCTTGTAATTCTATGATGGTTTTGGTAACGGTGCGTCTAAAATTGCGTTTCATTTTTATTTATTGTTGTGATTCCCTCTTCGCTAATTGTATTACCTCGGATTTCAATATTTCTATATAAATAATTTTTTTTTTATCTTGATAATTTATTTAACATTAGTATATTTATAAGGTTTCTTTTATGAATCTTGATTGATTCCCCAGTAATTATTATATCGTTTAAATAATCTGCTAAACCGGGTATTCCTTTTAATAACAAATTCATTACTTGTTGAAAAATGGCTGGGGCTGAAGTTATTCCGAACGGAAGTCGTCTGAAACAATAAAGTCCAAATGACATGTTGATCACAAACAGCTCTTTTTGCCTCGTTATCTAGAGCTTTTTGAAAATAAGCTTCTGATAAATCTAATACGGTATACTTTGCTACATTACGTAATAACTCATTTATTCTGGGTATAGGATATTGATCAATAAAAATGCATTAACCGTTTGTCGGAAGTAACCACAAATTCGTAAGGATCCATTCTTTTTTTGGTATAGGCACGAAGAGACAGTATTCGAATATTTTATTTTTCTAAAACTCCATGGATTCTAGTTGTTGTATTATAGATTCTAATTTTGTTTTCCACGCAAATGGTAACGGCCTATTTTTAATAAATTGATAGTTGGCAGAGGCGGACTGGCGACGCTACGGCCTCGTGGGCATTTTTTTATAGCGGCCTCATTTTAATGGGGGCTTCGCCCCCATACTTTTCCAATTTAAGGCCGGGTTCCCTTAAATGACTTCTTCTAATTACAAGATTTTTATTATCTCTTATTTTTGAAAATAAATTCAAACAATTTACATTTTTAATAAAAAATGATAATCATATATTTTATTATTAAAAATTGCACATCTAAAATTATTCATTGCATTTCTAAAAAAATATTCATTGTACATAAATATTTTATATTAGATTTACAACGATATTACACCATATAATCAAATCATATATCACGTGTTAAATATAAAATAATGCATAATAAAATCAGGGATGTGAACCCGGACCCTGAACCCTCGTATTTTGGCTGAACCCGGACCCTTTTAAAAAGTGGAAGGTCCAAGGGTTCAGGGTGTTAAAAATTTTTAACTTAAAATTTTTTTTTAAAATTAATGTAAAAATATAATTTTTAAAAAATAATATAAAATTTTTATAATTTTTAAAAAAATAATAGAAAATTTTTATAATTTTTAAAAAAATAATAGAAAATTTTTATAATTTTTAAAAAAATAATATAAATTTTATAATTTTTAAAAAAATAATATAAAATTTTTAAAAAATAATGTAAAATTTTTATAATTTTTTTCGTGGAATCTCCCTAAAAAATAGTCACTTTAAAACTATAATTGATAAAGCAAGGGATGTTGTAAAATATTTAAGAACTCCCACAATTGTTAGAATATTAAAATCCATGAAAAGGTAAATGGCAATTTTAGATTGCACAACACGTTGGTCCTCTATATGTATGATGCTAGAGCGATTATTAAGTTTGAAAGATTTCTGTAATGATTTTATCATAGGAGCATGTGAAATCATTTTGTCAGAAGATGATTGGAATTAAGTAAAAGAGCTCCTTTAAAAATAACTACATTAAGAGTGCAAGCAGAACAATTATGTTTATAGGATTTTTATGGCATATGGTTAAGATGTCGATTAGAGTTAGGGAGATTAACAAGTTCTTTTTCAAATGAAGTATTAGAAAATACGAAAATAAGAGAGCAACAATATTTACAAAATAGTGTTGTATATGCTTCTATATATTTAGACCCGCGATATCGTTTTATTAAGTAGTGAGCAAAAACAAATGGCTATAGACCATCTTGAAGATTTATGGCATACCCAAAATTCTATTATTTACAATACATTGGTGGTTACAACAATATCTACTGGTTGTAGCGATAACAATGATAATGATAACGATATTGATGATCTGGAAATTTTACTATTAGATAGAGAAAAAAAAATTAAATTATCATCTGATAGAAAGGAGAAAAAAATATCTATTGTATCTTTAATAGAAAAGTTCTCGGAAGTTATGAGAATAAATAGAGATGCAAACATTTTAAAATTCGGGAGGAAAATTCTTCAATATATCCAGAATTATATACCTTTTCTAGAATCGTCATGGCTGTACCGGCGACACAAATACAATAATTTATGTATTATAAAAATGACTATCTATTTTAGTTAAGCGTAGAACGTGGATTTTCATCGTTGAGTGGATTTTCATCGTTGACTAATTTACGTGGAAATCTGAAGGATGATATTTTAGAAGATATCATGATTGTGCAATTGAATAAAATATTTAAAATATAAATTATCTCATTTCGAATTATAAATGTGTATATATTGAAGTATAATAAAAAATGAATGAAAAAAAGTCTTATTTTGAGTCATTATTTTTATGTTTCCTCTGAACCCGGACCCGGGTCCTTTTTAAATTTATTACCGGACCCGAATTCGGACCCTTTTTTTTGTCGAAGGGTTCACATCCCTGAATAAAATCAATTAATTACACATATAAAATTATTGCAATTATACAATTTTACACAGAGAATAAAATTGCTGCACTTATAAAATCAGGCACCGATCATATTATAGATATAAATAAGATTTAAATACAAGAATTATGATATAATATTTAATTTTACGTTAATAAATCTCTCATTAACTTTAAACCATTGCGCAAAGAATATCTTCTAGTTCAATCTGCGCTAATAGCTCTCGTTCAACTGACATCATTAAAAATACTTCTAATTTTTCTTGGCTTATATTAGCTCTCAACCTATATTTTTTAATAATTTTTAATTTACTAAATGTTCTCTCGAAATTAACCTGCGTAAATGATATAGTTAAAATGTATTCATATGCCAAAAATAAATTAGTGTATGCACTTGTGTTCATATTGTATCTTTTAAGAATTTTATACACGCATATTATACACTTGCTATATCACACTCTGAGTTATTATCATATTGTAATATTCCATCTACTTCATTTGACTTCTCACTGATACATACGATATCATAGTCCGTTTCATTTAATTCTACTATCAAATCGTTGAATACACTGGCAAATGAACACAATTCGTTACGTAATTTAACACCCAATATATTTGCCAATTGTGCCAGTTTTTCCAAAGCCTTTTCAAATACCTTACTATTTATTTCATCAAAATTAAATTAGAAGCCATTTTTATTGTTTTATTTTGAATCGATGTAATAGTTATCGATGATACAGAAGACTTAGCATCTTCTATCATTTTCCATGCTGATAAAATATTTAAATTTTTAGTTTGAAGATATAATGACATCAACATAAATTATCGATCAAAGACTGAGCTTCTTATGAGGTTTTTGCCTCAAATGATTTATTATCTATTATAAATTGAAGTGTATTTATCGTTATTGGGAGCAAGCTCTCTTTACCATATATCCATCTAAGGGCTATTTCACGTGCCCACCACTTGTCTCACCTATTTTTGCAGCCTTCTCAACTTACTTTAGCCAGATGAATTATTCTGTTTTACCCAAGCATCCATCCTTTTATATGATTTACCAAAGAAGTTGCTAGTCTGTTCAATAATCCAAATAAATTTTTGCCTTCATATTATTGCATGAATCACATATACTGAGATTTAATATGTGACTCTATCACCAAATATAAATATACCTGGAGCCTTTAGTCTAATAAGAGCATGCAACCCAACAAATTCACCCCGCATATTTGCAGTACTATCAAATGATACTTCTGTTATATTTCTAATTTGAATTCCATGTTTTAAAAGCATTCACTCAAGATAGCAAAAAATCCTTTTCCAGAAGAGTTTGTAAGTGCGAAAAGCCTTTCTGTTATTTTGCCATTATATAAGTATTTTAGGCAAATGGTTGCTTGATCATAAACGCTAATGTCTTGAGTAATATCCATTTTCAAACTAAACCATTTGTTACCAATCTCCTTTTTTTATTAAATTCCTGATTTGATCAAGAACAACATTAATAATTTTTTAACAGTTGTTTTTGACAACAAGGTTATGAGTGAACCTCTTCTCTTCGATTATAATTTGTCAGAGAGTTTAAGTTGTTCTTTTCTAAGCTTGCTCTTTAAAATAGCTTTCTCTAAATGATCTCTGAATTAATCATCTTTGATATAACACGAATCATTTCCAGGAAATTTTCATAATTCAAATTTTAATTTATAAAGTGGCTGTGTTTAATTAACATTTGATCCTCTGTAGGGTAAGTTTTATATGCCTAAAAACTTTATTATCTCCAATATTTATTTTATTATGTGGACGTTGTTATAAATTTGTCAATTTTTCCCATTTAATATTTTAAGACTAATTTAATTATCAAATGACTTTTTGATCTGAGGTAGGCCTCGACTGCACTAATATGAACTTTTGAATTTCATGTATTTTAATTACTAATAAAATTTGTTGAGCTTGTTGTGAAAGTGTCTTCGCATACTACAAATGCCAGGCAGATTGAGCAGTATAAAGTTTTGGCTTTATTGCATATTAGTTTTATTGTAACACATAAATTAACATTATTGGAAAATCAAATTGATCAAAAATTTATTTTATTAAAATTATAATACCTAGTTTTTATTATATTTCAATGAATTAAGAACAAGATATCCAATTATAAATGTTGGCTATATTATTTCTTCAATAAACCAATGTATAAAAATATAATATAATAAATTAGTCAAAACTTAGCTTTCACTCTACTCAAATCAAACGGAAGCGTTTTCACTTCATTTGAAAAAAAACAAAAAAAAGCACATGATAAGATGTATAGCAACAAGTGACGTTATTGATATTTTATGCATCTAAATATAGTAAACGACATAATTCTCAAGGAATGTGATATTCAAATAATATAGATGTCATTAAAAATAAATAGATGATAAGAGAAAATAATGTAAACATAATATATTTTTTTTCTAATCGGCCTCTTTTTTGATATTTTCCTCTGATCGGCCTCAAAAATCGACATTTTCTCGCGGCCTCGTGGGCAAAATTCCCACCTGGTCTTATGGCCCGCCCCTGATAGTTGTGGTTGGATTTAGAGGTTAAACTTGCTTTAAATACTTCAGTATAATTTCTTTATAAATGATGAAAATTTTGTTCTATATTCCCATCTGCCCTCCCCAGATTTTCAAGCTTGTTATAGGTATTCCTAATTGGTTTACGTCTGCTACATTCAAAATGAAGATGGTCGATCCTGTGTCAATTAAATATCAATAATTACACCTCGAAACTTTCTCGCGACTCTTCTGAGACATCTATCGTTTGAATATTTATTTTTTACCACGATTCCTTCTGTATACATTCTGTAAATGTCCTTTGATACTGCAATTATGACAAACAACTTTCGATATTGGTTTATAATTGTTATACTTTTTTCTTGGCATAGGTTTAAAACTTCATTTACAGATATATTTGTAGAGGTTATCATTTCCTTGGAATAATAACTTTTTAAAATTTAATTAACTAATTCTATGTTTCTGCTAACGTCTTCGGTAGACATAAAGCAAATAATCGGGAAAATATATCTAGTTCAATATTTGCTAATAAAAACGCCCTTTAATTTTTGGTATTATATATATAATTCGATAAGCGACATGTAAATATTGATGTTACAATCTTTTCACTAAATTTTTCAAAATTAAAATAAGTCGACTGTGTCATGATCTGCCAATGAACTATTTATAACTTTGAGACTTCATTTGACATATTTTCAGGTATATATATTTTTTCACAAGTAACTAATTATAATAATGTAACTAATTATAATAATATAAATATTAAGATAATTACAAATAAATTTCCCCCAAAATCCTACCCTTAGCCGCATCGTGGCGGGAAAGTAGCAACGTCTTTTGGCGGCTAATGGAGGTCTAAAAGTTCTTTGTGGTCGGGGTCTAGAATAGGATCACCGTTTCCTCGACGAGATGTAAAAACCACCTAAAAGGGTTGATGTTAAGAAGGGCATCCGATTGTAAAACCTTGCTAACATTTCCTAATGATTAAATCAGAGGAGAAGCTGGCCAACCTGGGTAAACCTGGAGTATCACCATTAAACGGAGAAAAAGAATGATACAAATAAATAACAACTAATTAATTTACAAGGTTAAATATATATTATTTCGATCGACTATATAAATTACCACTTAAATTAACTTTTCCATTCTATAACATAAACTTCATTTTAATATTTTATTCAAAGAATGTTTAATATTTTTGTGAATTTAAAAATATATAAATATATAAGAATTAACATTAACTATAAGAAAGCATAAAATTGTTAATATATTAGCCATGAAAAATTTAAGAATAAATATAAAAAATATAAGACGAATAAATTTTCCTTTAAAACAGGCATTTATAAATATGTCGCATATAGATCAGATATTTAAAGTTTGATTTCAGTAAATGTCTTAACTAATTAAAAGTTAATATAAGTTTTTAAATAAAATGGTAGTCGATAAAAAGAAAGGAAGGGTAAGTAAGCAGATTTTATAAAAAAATGTGATAGTTAAATGATTGACTTATAGTTGTTAAAATCTATTGCGAGCCTACATATAGGACACCTCTTTTTGAGTTTAAGCCACTTATCTACGCAAACAGCGTGATATAAATGGAAACAAGGTAGCCTCCTGACGGAATTGCCGATCTCGAATTCGCTTAAACATATAACACAATTTTCTTCGTGGGACTTTGGAGCCAAATGAGTTAATTCTTTTGCATCAACTGAGATTGAAATACCATCGTCAGTTAGAAATGCATCTACAGGGGACAAGGGCTGCGTAGTAAAAAAATTTAAGTAGTTTAGTTTAATTGTAGCTTTATGAAAAAATATAGTTGTGAGATGAATTACCAATCACTTTCTTACAAAATAATAAATAAAGAAATATACCATTTCATCTGCTTGACAATCGGTTATTTCCTCTTTAATCGATATAACATTAGGCGAATATTTAATATCTTCACTTTCATTTTTAGGTTCTTTAATCGAACATTTCCTCTTAGTCTTTTCATTTAATTCATAACCAACGGAGGGCTAAATTTACGACGAATATAAGCAAATAAATATAAAAAAAATAATGATTTTTTATAAATATGCAATATTGTTTTCCATAGTATATTAAAATTCTAATGTTTTTAATTTTGAGGAATTGAATGATAGCAATATAGAAAATACACCAAATCTAAGAAATACTTTAGGCATAACCTTATATATCTGGGACCGGCCCGGGTAAAGTCTGAAAAAATTTACTAGTGGTGAGCCGGGTAAAGAAATTAACGGTCCGGGTCTTCCAAAAGCAGAAATGCCCGGAATGCTTAATATAGAAAATTGTTATAATGTATTTTATTTTGCTTATAAGTTTAGTTATTAAATGATCTGCTACTAAATTCAATCATAAATGCCTACATTTTGTGTTGTTGTTATAAAAAAATCATAAAACCTAAATCCTCATTCCATAGGATATTTTTCTGGATTTTAAAAACCCGGCCTGGAAAATTTAATAAAAAAAATTGGAACCGTACCAGACCGCTGAGCAAAAACTAAATTCCTACTGGATCGGCCCTGAAAATTTTGTATTTGTAGACTTCAAATAACTATACCCCACCCCCCTCAAGCAATGAGAATATTACACACCTCCTTCTAACATACCTAAACAAAAATAAGGAAATTCAAATTATCAAAATTAAAGAGGAAGTCAAAATTCGCAAAAATAAGGAAATCAAAATCAAATTGGCATACTTCCCTTCCCATTTTATTCTGATAAAGCATTTTCACAACTCCAAATCAAAATTTCTTATAAATACCTACTTTTTTCTGTCATAACCACCTCCCGTGGTTAAATGCTTAGGTAAAACCAATTATATTTGTTTAGACTTGGATACTGTTCTAAACGTAAATAATTTTAAAGCCATTTTGAAAATTGCAGTTTCGCATTATCATATATTTAGCATAGGGTTAAAAAATCTTAAATTTCATCAAAACAAGATTTAAAAAAATATTATATGCAATTATCACATATACTTAGAAATCATATGAGAGCAATCCTTTATCACTGATTGTAAATTATTTAAGATAATTCTCAGGTATTCATCCAATTTATCTTTATAAGATAACTATTTTGTTTAGTTAATGCATTTTTGTTCAGCAAATTTTTATTTACAAGTAAATTAAACTCATCTTTAAAATAATATTGGAATTGTGAGCTCACTGGAAAAACATAGTAAATGATCAAAATTTATATTTTCCTACTCTTTATAATAAACTACAAAAAAAAATTATTTTATAAATCATGATTACTAAATTTTCCGTTATTTTGTCGTAATGATAAATATAAGTATTTATTATACAAATACAAATAAAATGACTATAAATATGCTCCATACAAAAAAATGGCGATTTCAAATAAAAATTCAAAATGTGCATAAATATTATACGTTTAATCATTGATAATCTGATTCACATTTATATGAATGTATAGTGTTTTCTCTATCATATCCTTTTCAAAATATGGCTTAAAATATTTTACCGAAAAATTTATTAATTATTTGTTGGTATCAGCATGTGTATTAATGCGATAAGTGCAGTAGATGGTTATATAAAAAAAATAGAACATAATTTTTGGCACATTGAGCATGAGACCATTCCATAGCAGTAACGGCTCGTTTTGAGCCGATTTTTAAAAAAGGCTAACTCAATATTTCATCCAGAAAAATTTTACGCAAGCCTGAAAATTTTGTCATAGAAGGAACAAAAGTCTAGACATATATTATCGAAATCTCGAGGTTTAGGCGATATTTTTTGGCTAAAATATTGTGTTAGCCGTTTTAAAAAATCGGCTCAAAACGAGCCGTTTAACAACACTAAGTACATGTATTTAATCTAGTTTTCTGTAGCTACTCATATATTTGGTGTTTTATTTTTTTTAATTTAGAGACATGAGGCTAATATCTCTAAATTCTTTTTTTTTCAATTATTATATTATTAATAATTAGTAGTGTTTTAAATTGACTAAATCGAGTTAGAACGAGTAGTTTAAACTAGTATTATTGAATAATTATATTGAATTATTAAATTTAAATTCTATTTTTAGTAATTGTTCTTTTTTTTTAATCTTCAAATATTTAATATTTTAACATTAAACTAACAACTCGAGTCGTGGCATATCCCGTTTTTTTTGGTGATAACCCCCGTTTATCTGTCATAAACCCTGTTTTTTGCAAAAACCTGATTTTTTTTGGTAAATATTATTTCTTTTTATATAAACTCCGTTTTCTAGTAAAAACTTTTTTATAGTTAGCATAGATGTTGCCGAGGAAGGGACTAGTGATGCCAGACGGCTAACTCCACACAGTTTAGCCGCGCCTAGTTTCTAGTCGAAAAATTCAACTTCGACTTGAGGACCTGACTCCTGAGCCGATTTCATGTTTATTTGTTATATTAATTATAAAATAAAAATATAAATGTGATTTTGGATAGACTACTATTCATTCAGAGAAAAATAATGAAATTTACCTCTGCCAAAGAATCCATTTATAAATGATATGCGTCTGCCACTTTTATTTTCCCATGCATTTACCGCAAGAGGTCTGCAAATGACAACATTTTCAGGTCCAATGGGAATTTAGTTAACATCTTAAAGGACGGAACCACCAAGTTGGATTAAGAAAAAAAAATAATCATTGCTGAGATTCGAACCTAAGTCTATCAGATCTTACCTATTAGGCCATAGACACTTTTCAAAATTCACGATTTTTGTGATGTGACTCTGACACTGAGAGTGTGACGGCTTTTATAGATATTATAGATATATCAATTAGTTCTAGTGTATATATATATATATGATGATGTATAAGATGGTAATGGTTTTATGGTAATGGAAGATGAATAAATGATTGATAAGATAAGATTCTATGGTGATTTTTATTGAACGAATATTTTTTAAAAGAATATAAAACATTTAAATATAAGAATACCTATTTAATACTTTGAATTTTAAAGTAGCTAACTTTGAATCGTATCTATTTGATTAATTTTGTCAGATTAAGAAAAAAAAATATTTTGCCAGATTAAGAAAATTTTTTTTTGGTGGGATTCGAACCTAAGTCTAATATATTTGTAAACGGCGCTCTTACCAATTGGGCCACAGACACTTTTAAAATTAACGATTTTTTAAATATATTATAAATTGTGAAAGTGTGACTGTCACAGCGTGACAAGGCTTTTATATATATTATAGATATTCAATAAAATAAAGGAAAAAAATGGGTTCAGTTTTACAGCAGTATGCATTGAGAATACAATAGAACTAGTTTAACTAAGCAAACCTGAAGATGAGATGTAATAAAAATTATGTGATCAATATTATTGAAAGAAGTAACCTAACATTTATGCAACTACATTCCAACATTAATATATAGAATTTTATATATCATCCTTATATAGTCAATATGAAAGAAATAACTTAACATTAATTAACTACATTACAATATTAATAATTTTAATGAAACTTTCTTAATACATAAATGTCATTCTTGTGTGTATAATCAGTATTAATGAAATTAATATAGATCCTTATGCAACAACATATGCTTGTATTCAAAGAAGTTGGTGACCAGTTTTTATTTTCTGATTGTATAATAAAAATATAAATAGATGATCATCAGATTGTAATACCCAATGGTACCGCATATTATGTTGGATAGAAGTTTAAGTTCTCAATGTAGAAACTCTATTTTAATACTAGTGAATGCCCGTTTAAGGGTCCATAGTGTGAATGGACAAAGATGCCCTCTTTGTGGCTCAGTCCCCTCTATTCCTCTCCTAACAATCCCCCACAGTTCTCTCTTGAATTCTGTGACAGAGTCATCTGTTCCATCTACATCATATCATGATAATATTGCAACATCAAGCATTCTCGAATCTAATATTCCTGATATTCATTTCACAATTCCTTGGACTACTCAAACCTAGTGTTGAGTAATCGGCTAAAAACTACGCCTAAGCTTAAGCTTAAAAATCGGCTAAGCCTAAAATCGGCTAAGCCTAAAATCGGCTAAGCCTAAAAAATCGGCTAAGCCTAATTAGGTTAAGCCTAAAAATCAGCTAAGAAAATATAAATCTGCTAAAATTAAATTAGTCAAAATTTTGCATCGATGCTTAGTATTAATTATTATTTATTTATTTTAGTAAAATAATTTATTTTATTTATATTTAATGTAAATATTTTAATATTATCAACAAATAAACATGATATGATTTAATATTTTTTATTTATATTATTATATTTTGAAATGAAAATAAATTTATTTATTTGATGTTATTTTAATAAAAAAAATAATATGCTGCTATATAGTAAAAATGTAATATTCTTTAATATAATTTATTAGTGATTTTCACAATCTTCTTTGTAAATACATCTTTTATTGAGGAATTATATTGTAAATTTTATTAGTTAAATAAACAATCTTTTAGGTGAAATCTATTATCATTTTTTTAAAATTATCTATTTATTATTAAATGAGGTGGATTTTATGAAACTTTTTTGATGATTTTATATGATCTTTTTAAGGATAATATTTTAATGTGACAATTGTCATAATGGTTATTTTATAAGTTTTTTGAATTTTTTTGAAGAAAATAGGTTAAAATAAGTATTAATAACATGTGTAAATATAAATTTAGTGAAGATGTACCAAAGAAAAGTGACAATTGTCATAATCGTTATTTTTAAAGTTTTTGAATTTTGACGACAATATGTTAAAATAAGTATTAATAACATATTTAAATAAAAATTTAGTGAAGATGTACCATAGAAATTTGACAATTGTCATAATCGTTATTTTTAAAGTTTTTTGAATTTTTTTGAAGAAAATATGTTAAAATAAGTATTAAAAACATGTTTAAATAAAAATTTAGTGAGGATGTACCATAGAAAAGTGACAATTGTCATAATCGTTATTTTATACGTTTTTTGAATTTTTTTGAAGAAAATAGGTTAAAATAAGTATTGATAACATGTATAAATATAAATTTAG